TTCGATGGAACTAGGCAAGCTTTTTCTTCAGCTGTCTGAATATTCCATCTGCCATAATGGTTCGAACGATGTCGTCATTGTGATTTCTTTTGTTAAAAAGGCCTTTAGGGTAAAAGAAAATCAGCAAATATGACTCCTATCTTTGAATGAAGAACTGCTGCAAGTTATTAAAAGTAATTTTGTGAGAACTTTGCTGAAATTTTCTTTAATATTGAAAAAATAAATTCTGCTTTGAATGCAGAATCTTCACTGCTGTGCTTCAGCTGTATATATGCGCATTTGTTTGTTAATTAGAATGTTTTACCTTATTTAAAAGAAATGAAGACAAGTGTAATAAATGCAAAGAGCCTTGTTCTTGTAAATCTTGCACTTCAGAGGACTTTACGGCAATTTGAAGGAGTAAGTTGGTTTTCAAATTTAAATGGGATTATGAAGCTATATTCTTACTTTTCTGAACTTTCATGTTTAAGAAATTAGTTGTAAAGTGAAATTTATCATTTGATATCTCCAAAATCAAACGGCAATAAAGGAAAGTTCGCAGCCGAATTTTTAAAATTCTTTTGTTAAGCTCTAGGATAGGAAATGCTCACAATTAGGATTTAATTACTTACAACGTTACATGAAATGGCTAAAAGTACGTATGTTGCGATTGTTACAAATATTATAATTCCCTCCTCTACCCCACCACATAGTTGATTCTTTCATAAGAAATAAATATGCATTTACGTAGTTACAATATGAGTTGTATTAGAATAAGATGCGTTCGTTTTAATTCTTTAGCGTTTAATCGTATAAAATGAATATCTTATTAATTACAATAATCAGTTAACTTAGAAGCTGGAAATAAGAATGAAAAAATCAGCTCTACTGACTTGTCTAAGATCAGTTGTATAAATGACATGTGGAGGAATACGTTCTCATTACGTCCTTTTCTCCTAGATGCAGTTAATGAAGTTCTTAATTATTCCTTTCGTGTATGTCATAATTAAATAATTTATGTGTAATTCTGTGTTTATGAATGTGTGTTAATTATTAAAAAAACACGGTAAAAGTGATTCTAAATATTGTCTGTGTTTTATGGCAAAGCAACGTTCAGTTCCCCCCCCCTCTACAATAATTTTTCCTGTTTGAATAGTTATCTTAATCATCATAAATATTTCACCGTTATATCATCATATTTTGCCGCACCTTTATTGCCCCCCCACCCCCAAAAAATGACAGTTTTCTTTAAGAGTTTTCTTGAAAATTTAGAAACGGCAATGCAGCTGATTTCACTGGAGATATTGTAGCTTTGAAATTTATAACAACTTTTGCAAATTCTCTAAAATAATTCTGCTAGTTCATATTCTCCAACTCTTTCTTTTAATGATATTAATTGAGAAATAACTGTAAAATAAAGAATATGTTTCATGAAATAATTACTAAATTATGAGTTTTTGCCTGTAGAACATAGAGGTTATAAAATGTAGACTTAAGATATATTTCGTGTTTTGATTTTTTAAATGATTTTAAAACCGAATGGTAGTATTATAGGGTAATTATTTTTAAATGAGAGTAATTTGTAAGCAGTGCAAAATAATCTTTGATTTTGGTATAAAGTGCTGGTAAATAGAAGTATTAAAAATGGGAGGGTCCCAAAATTTTTATTGTTTCTGTGCATAAAAATGGCTCCCATCGCTGTTTAAAAATATGTTGAAGCACTTTTGTAACTCGATTTTCCAATTTTTCAGGACTTAATACGTTTACGTAAATGTATAAAAGGCGCTTCAAAAGTAAACTGTTATTTTTTACCCCTTTGGTCTTTGGAATCGTAAAGTGTTGCAACTCAAATTGCCCGAAATTCATGTTATAGCATTGCTTTGTAGTAAAACGCACTAACACCCTTTTAAAGTACATTTGTACGGCAAAACAAGAACAGAGTTCTCACTGTAATACCTTAGCATAAAAGCGTGTTGGATCTTTATGCTTCATATTTAACTTATATTAATTTATCCTTGTTAATGTAAGATGTCGGGAGTCGGGACATGTATGCCTGCTAACCACATAAATTTGCCGAATAGTTACCAGAAAACTACCATCTCCCTTTTTATTTTTTGGTGTAAAATCTATCTGTCTTATATTTACTTATATTGAATTCATTCTAAGGTCACCTTTTTGCATTTGTGGGACTTTTTATAAGCTTTTATTTAGTTTATTTATGGTGTTTCATGGTGGGTGGATTTTGTCATCGGTTTTTAACCTCCTTCCTGACTAGCTATCGAGCTCAAATTTTGTGCACACACTGTTTTTCCATGACAATGCAATGTAGTGAAAGGATTTTTTTTTTTTTTTTTTTTGAAAAGTCGGTTTAGATTTCTTTAAATTCAATGTTTAAACGATTTTTGAGCATGTCTTTATTTAACCAGGGAATTAAGCATACCAGAATTTTACTGTTTGCACCATCGAATAGAGCGGGGAAAATATTATACAAAAATTATGTGAAAAGTGTAATTTTATTTCTGAATTTTTTTTAATTACTCGATTTTTAGACTGTTTCATATTTATGATTTTAAAGTTTCAATATCTAAAATTATATCGGATGTGAAGTTTTAGAATTTTCACCGATTATAAAATAAATTATCACCCTAATGCAATTTATTGTATTAAATTGCATGCAATTTAAACCTATGAACTTTATAATTTTGATGAAGTTTATCATTGTTAATGCTGTACTCTTGTTCATGCTTATTCTTTAAATTTTAGAAATGTTTCTAATGTCTAATTATTGAAACATTAGATGTGCTTTGACTAGAAGTGGTAATTTAAATGTACATGGTATAGCTATACTTCGTGTATATTCACAAAAAAAAAAAAAAAAAAAAAAAAAAAATGTAAGTTTAATTTGCTCGAGTTGGGCATATTTATTTAATTAATGTGTAAATTTTCTGCTTTACAACCAAAAGAGGAAGAAAAGCGTTTTAAAAACATACGTAATTCATAATTGACGTTATATCCTGTATGTTTCCAATGGTGTGCTTTTTTTCCAGGGGAGGGTAAGACTCAGATTATGAGAATTTATTTTTAATCATGTTATCATTGCTATGTTATCTTGTAGAATCATTACATTTGTCGAAGCAGGAAGTATGACAAACAGGCAATGTCCTCACTGGGATTTTAACTGTGGATTCTAACTGCTAGCCAGAGGTGCTTCCAAATTACATTATGAAGGCACACAGTAGGGAAAGAGAAAATACTTTACAGTTTTTTCTTAACCATTTATGAATAGAGATTTTAGGAATTTGGTGTTGGTATGATTAATATAATCTACACGAATGAATTAAAAGAAAAAGGTGTCATTTCTATATATCTGTTCAATAAAAGAGGTGCTAATAGATGTAATATTTGTATGTAATAAAAAATAAATAATTTTTTCCTTAAAACTTAACAGACAGATAAAGGGCTTAGATTAAATTTAAGTAGTGTTAAAAATATTAGTCATAAAAATACAAATCAATCAAATTACCGTAATTTCCGGAAGAAAGGCCGCATCAGCGTAAACGCCGCACTCGAGAAAAATGGCGGGAAAAAAATTAAAATTACACAGAAACCCCGCAATAGATTAAATTGCGCGTGACATCGTCGTGGGTCGTATAGATGCAAAAACTCAACCTAAGTCCTGATATATGACATACCAGTTAAGAAAAATGCATGAAATGAAACCATAACTCAAAAATAAATTAAAGGTAAGGAATGTATAGCTTCTGTGCCGTTTAGAGACATTTTCAAAAATTTTCCGTTCCCTAATTAAAAACTATCCAACAAGTACTTGTACCCTAACTGATGGGATCTGTATTTGGCAGAATGCCAAGAAAAATCAATTCATGCTGAAGGGGGAAATACGTCAGAGTTCGTTATTGCGAGGCAGGTGGAGTCGTGTCCGCCTTTGAAAAAAATTGCAGAAAAGGCAGGGGTGGAAAGAGGATGGGTTCTGGAAGATTCATCGAATGGCAGAGGAGAGAGACTATTCAAACTGATGAGAATGTTGATTTGAAAGGGGGAAGAATGTTATTGTTCTGAGATCTCGTTTAGGGTGAATAAGGCATGTAGGTCCGTTCAAGGGAAAGAACGTAAACAAAATAACGTTCCCAAAAAGCAACTGAGTGGTCTTTTGTGTGGGAACAGCACCAATCTATGCACAATGACAAGGCCATAAAACTATGTACAATGACCATCATAGGAAATATTTTATTTTTAGTGCACCTAAACTCCGCATGGGTAGAAACGCCACACCCGCTGAAAATTTAAATTTTAAACACGTAAACGCCGTGGCGTTTCTTCCGGAAATTACGGTAAATTAAAACTGCTATTTCAACCAAATTTAGGTAACATGCATAAAATTCCCTTCCCTCAAGAGAAGGGCAACATTGTATCAGAACATAGGAGATGAAAGTATAATTGTAATGGAAGCATTACAAAGCTTGCAAAAGATTACTCTGGTTTAAAAAACCAGTGCGAGTTTTATTTTCCTATGCTAATTTTTTTTTTGAATTTTTGAATTTAGTTTTGAATTTAAAACAATATTTTTTTTTATTTTTTTTTTCATTTTAATTCTAATAACCTTCAGAAAAATAATTATCTCTATAATAAGTTGCATATGAGTGTAAATTGGATTATTAGCATTTGCTGATGATGGAAGAATGATGCCATTGCATCGTGCAATGAGTAGGATGCTATCACATCATTTTCCTAGAACTTAGAGAACATTTAATATCAAATCATAACTTTAGTGTACAGGTGTGTTCTCTGCTGTATTCAAATAATGTAATTTAACCTGACTTCAATTACTTAAAAATATTAATTCATTTTACAAAATGCATAATTATGTTGATTATAATCTACTGTTTCAGATTCTTAATTCTTTCTTATGAAAACTTATTTTCAGTGGTTATTAGGTATTAAAATAGTTTGAATTTAAAAGTGTGTAATTATATTTTATTTATTTAACATATTTTTTCACATAGGATTTACAGAGAGAAATAGAATCTCAAAGGGATCTCCACCAAACTTTAAGTGAAAGGAGTAGCCACTTGTTGCAAAGTCTGGAAAGTCAAGATGATGCTTTGCTTCTTGGGCGTAAATTACAGGAAATGAATCATAGGTGGAATGCCCTCAGGCTGAAAACGGTGTCACTCAGGTACTTTTATATGTCACTGTCATAAGCAAATAATTCAATTTTAACTTCATTACAATACTAATACATTGAATAAAAGTCAGGTCTGGAAATAAATCTTTTAAATTTTTAGCTTTGCTGTATGAATTATGTAAATATTCAGAATTATTATATTTCAGAAATCGTTTAGAAAGTAGTGCAGATCAGTGGAATCAACTTCTTTTGTCATTAAGAGAACTAACTGAATGGGTAATAAAAAAGGAAACAGAATTATCTGCTCAACCTGCTATTGGTGGAGATGTTGGTTGTATAGTTAAACAGCAAGATGAGCACAGGGCTTTCCGAAGGCAGCTCGACGACAAAAGACCTGTTGTAGAAAGTAGTCTTCTGGCAGGTAGACATTATGTTGCAAAAGAACCACCTCTTTCTGATACCAGTGATTCAGAAGGTTAGTGTACTTCCTTTTATTAGTTGTAAAATGCAACCATTTCCTAAGTGAAAGCAATGAAATACTTATAGACATATGTAAACATAGCATATGAAATTGTTCGATTGTGATTTATTTTGTAGCAAAAGAATTTGAAGGTGATAGTCGGGGTTATCGCAGTGCTGAAGAACAAGCAAGAGAAATCACTCGAAGTATTAGGAGGGAAGTTAAAAAGCTGTCAGACAAATGGAATGGTCTATTACAAAGAACAGAACAGAGACAGAAGCGACTTGATGATGTTCTAGTGGCAAGTAATATTTTACTTATTTGAAGGGTATAAGTAGATGTCAGTTGTGTAAAATGAAAAAATAAAGTTTATAACAAAATAAATGGCTAATTCTAAATCTTACAAGGTCAGTGGTTTCAAAATTTCATAAACATATTACAGTACAAAATCCGTATTCCGGATTAGGGTTTTTTCCGAATTATAGATCATCAATTTAAATCTGGTAAGATGGCATGCAGAAATTATACAATTAAAAATATGAAACCATGATTTATGAAATAAAGAGCAATTATGATCTGAAGAGTATCAAAATTTACAAAAAAAAGCTTAATATTTATTTGTTTACTTTATTAAACATTTCTTTCAACGCGCACATGCATAAAGCATGCATTACGCATAGTCGAAATTAGAAAATTGCAAACAGAAAATTATTTGATGTGTATTCGTTATATTTATAATGAGGAGGAAATTGATTTAAATTATATCAAAGACAAAGTACATCAAGATGAAATACTACACTTAGTAAGGAATTATAAGCTGAATAAAAAAAAAAAATTCCTTGAAGATGAGGATAGTGCTGACAAATCAACTTCCAGTTCATTGCACGCCGCGACGTTCTCCCTCCCTCCCCCCGCAGAGCAGCATGAAATTGATAAACAGATTTCGGAATGGTTAGAGAAACAAATTATTAAGCTGTTCTGATTATGCAAGTAATAGCGTGCTAAATTTAAAAAAAAAAAAAAAAAAAAAAAATTGCAGTTCATTTAGACTATGTCTGGACTTAAATGACACTTAAAACCTGGTGAATTCCTTTCCGAATATTTAATTGCTATGCGTGAAATAGCCAGTCGCGGTTCTGTTGATGTTTCATCATTCTTGATTATGTAATCAATGGAATACCTGATCAGAGTAGTAGCAAAATTATTTTGTATGGGTGTAAAACTATTTCTGAATTCAAAGAGAAAAATATATGAGAAAATCCGCGTTCCAGATACGAAGAATAAGGGTTATTCAAGTGCTAACACACAAAATATGCATGCGCTATACCTAATAAGAGTAAAGAACCAAGGTGTTATAACTGTGGAAGTATAGGGCGCGTAATGTATGCACATGCGTAAAGCATATAAAAAAAAAAAAAGGTTTGTGGCTTTGAGGTCTGGATAATGGACGTCCGAATTACGGACTTTGTACTGTATTTTTTAACTCTTGCATGAGCAGTAGTATTTCTTCTAGCTCATTGTATCTAGCATTAAAATAAAAGTTATTACACTGATGTTTGTAATATTCTGTTGTTATTAAAAACATTGACATTTATACTATTAAATTCTTATACAATATATTAAACTGGCTCCCACAATACAATATATATGTAGAATTTTTATGTGCTGTGCTGTGTATATTTCTAAACTTTTGTTTAAATTTGATATATATTTCTAAAAGAATTTCTTTTAATTTTCATTGTTGACAGCTGTATGAGCTGTATACATCTTTTCCTCTTGTCATTATATTTAAATCATCAAAAGGATCAATTAAATCTAAACTGAACTTTAACATCCATTTTTGCTAGGTTAACTAAGTAGTTTATACTTAGTTGTTAATTCTCGATCTCCAGTCATATAGCCACTTATGAATGGGCTCATGATTACACATAATTGAATCTAGGGTTATGTCTGCTAAAAGACTGACATCTGTGATGGCTAAATGTCTGTCTCGTCCATTTTTCACAGAGAAGCATCCCAAAGATGAATTTCAAGAGTTTTTTACTCATCATGCATTCTAGAAAGAATTTTCTGATTCACTGATTTAAAATGGCCCTATTTTTCTCAGATACTACAGTGGCATATGCATATGCCTAATCTAGGATTTAATATCAAACATAGAGCAAACAACATAGCAGGTGGCCTGTGCTACTCATATGCCTTTTAAAGTGGCAATTATCATATTATCCAACTCAGTGGAGACATAAATCATTTGCTGCAAATTTTTGAATTTTAAGGTGTCTTAAGTGGTATTAGTATGCAGCTGTGGGGCCTCTTCAAACGGATTTTAAGAGATTAAATCCACATTTATTGTATCTTATGTAAGATAGGTACAGTCAAAAGTCGTTAATTCGGACACCTATAATCCGCACCTCAAAGCTAAAAACTTTCTGCGCATGCGCCGCGTTCACACATGTGCATAGGCGTTTATGCGCGCACGTAAGACCTTTACGACTGCGCATATGGTTGTGCGCAATCGCAGAATACGTTTTCGCATGCACGTTTTGTGTATAACGGACGGTATAAGCTAAAATTATCTAATTATATATTTCAGTTAATGTTGATGATTGCGTTGTTCCTTAATCTTCGAATTGGATCTGGCTTATTATTTTTTGCAGACTGTAAGAGCAATTTTATAAAAGTAAACTTGAACTTTCGATTAGGTCAAATAGAATTTCCGATGCTGGAGCTCCCAAAAGATCTACAAAACAAAAGTATGTTTCGATGTCCATCAAACAAAAAGTGGAATTGCTGCAGAAAATGGATAAAGACACGAAGAAGGTGACAGAGAGGTTAGTGAAAACGAAAAAATTTCGATTGACAAGTTAGTCGGTATTCTCGGCACAGCTATTACGGGACTTGAACAGCGGAACTTTGTAACTGAACAAGAAATTATGTCTGTTTATAGAATTAAAGAGAAAGTATTATCACATAAAACGAAGCAACTTAAACAACTTACATTGAAAGAAATGCGTAATAAAGTAAACAAATAAATATTAAGCTTTTTTTTTTGTAAATTTTGATACCCTTTAGATATTAATTGCTCTTTATTTCATAAATTACGGTTTCATATTTTTAATTTTAGAATTTCTGCATGCCATCTTACGAAATTTAAACTGATGATCTATAATCCGGAAAAATCGATAATCCGAAATCGACGAAGTCCCGACGAGTCCGGATTAACGACTTTTGACTGTATTATACATATCTGTGTATTTTGTAATTGGATTCATTATTCACATGAAATAGTAGTAATAATTACAGATTGATTTTACAGAAAATGCAGACCTTACAAAGAGCAATGGATGATCTTAACACAAGGCTGCATTCAGCTGAGACTGCAAAATCTAAGTGGCCTCCAGTTTCTGAATTTGTCTTAGACCAACTGCCTGAACAAGTTGATGAACTTAAAGTAAGTAAAATAAAATGCATTAACTTAATTTACAAAAAACGAAATTGTTATCAGTTGGAATATATATATATATATGATCTAGCTAGAAGATCTAGTTTAGGAAAAAATGTGATAAACTATATTTCCCCCCCCCCCGTTTTTATTTTTACTTGATATTTATCATTATATAAGCCCACAGAAAACATTAAGGTTCAGCCTTTGATTTGTTTGTAAGTTACTATTTTAGTTAGAATGACAGATTTACTACATTTCATACAAAACATTGTTTTCTTTCATAAATGCTGTTCTTATTTTGAATTGTATAAGTAATCTTATGGTAATAAGTAGTAATGTGCTATTAAAAGTGAATCATCATGTGCATCAGTTAGCCTATTATAAGTATGATGATGATTATGTAAAAATGGATTGCAAATGTATGCATTTTAATGTTCATTGAAAAGTGAAATAAATACTTTTTAATAAATCATATATTACATAATGATTTCTCTATAGCGAATAAAACAGTTATGTATAAAGAAACATAATGTTAATTTTGTAAAACACTCCTGATGCTTTTGTTTATATGTTGCTGCAGTAATAAAATCTTTTTGTATGTAATCTGGATCATTCAAAAATTATCAGAAATATTAAATTGCTTTACTGGAGTTTTTTAGACTTGAAGAATTAAAAAATCTGAAATATTGATTACCTATATAAAGCAAAATTACACTTAATTGTTTATATAAATACTAATGTACTCGTTTTGTAAAGAGCTTGAAAACTGATTATAGAACTATGTCACATTTTTGTCTTAATATTTTTAATGTTTCTGTAATAAGCAAGAAATTTAATTTCAAAAATTTTTTCTAATGTAAAAATAAACATATTTGGTATCTGCTTAGGCATTTAAGGATCGTACTGCACCCCTTCAAATGCATGTTGATGAGGTGAATGAGGCTGCTGCTCGCATTACGGGTTGTAATGTATTGCTGTCTCACTCTAATCTCAATAGACTAGAAGAACTAAATACACGATGGAGATTACTGCAGTTAGCTGTTGATGATCGACGTAAACAATTAGAGCACTGTTTGTTAGATCAGGGCTCAGCTCAGCAGCAATTTTTGAGTGGTAAGTCATTTGAAATTGATGTAATTACTTTTCCTTGTAAAGCTTTAAAATGTTCAGTTAAGAGTGTAAAATTAATAAATTGTTAATTAGATAATTAAATTCAAAAGTATAATTGATTTCAGTTAAGATAGTCATTATTACATATAATAGTGTATTTCATTTTAAGAGGAAAATGAGTCTTGAAATCTCTGCTTTTGCATAGTTAAAGTATTAAAATTGTGCGATAAGAAAAAAACTGCAGAATGGTATGTTTGGATGTACCAACATAAATTTATCATTTGTGTCTATGCATTTCAGAGCTATAACATCCCCTTTGAAAGTTCTTTTGGGGGGGCAGGGTTGATGGGTGTGTAGTCATAAGATTGGGCTGTATATTTTTTTTTAGTATCAGAAGAAGTATAACATATTTTAGTCCAATCAGATAGTTCAAAAGAAGCTTTTGTATTATTCAACTGAAGTTGTACTTTCTTGTATGCAAAATACGTTTTAAAATATTAGTATTAATAACTGGCACATTGTTTCTAATTATCAGTTGTCTGTACTGGTACTTTTAAATTATTTTTTCTTACAGTGTGTATAGTTCTGCATTAATAAAGCAGAATAATTATTTTTTTAAGTTAAATCCGAGGTCACTTTTGGTTGAGTGATCGAAGCTTCAGGACAATTGTTGTTAATTTTGAATTTAGCTCCCAGTGAAATATGTTGTCTGTATGTTATTTTAATGATTTTTCTTGTTGAGAATTTTCAGTAATATAATTAATAAATTTTTGGGTGTTTTGTAAGGAATATTTATATTTTTAACTGTCTTGTATCTGTTCATTATAACATTTTGCTTGAATTTTCTGGACATTGATTGGGGAGCTTAAACATTTAGTGGTACAAATTGTTAAAATTATATTGCTGTATACACATTTATTTCTGGTTGCAAGATTTATCATTAATTCTATTGATGCATCATATACTAAAGTTGAGTGCTTTACCTATTATAGAAATTTTGTAAGTATAAAGTTCACTCAGATTATCAAAGGTTCTTTTCTGAAAAATATATACTTGAAATGAATTAATATTTTACTTTAATATTAATTAGCATTAATTATATTTTTAATCAATTCCAAATAGGGTAATTTTTGTTATAGGTGATTGAGAAAGTTTTAATTTCATAATTTTTGAAAAATAAAAACACCATTCTAAGCTATAAAAGTTGAAGGGTATGTTGTAGTTCAGGAAGGAAAATGTTTCAGTTTCATTTAATTATATGTTTTGTTACTTTTTTTTTTAATTCTTAAATGAAGAAATTTTACCTGACATTGTTTTTCCATAGCTTCTGTTACTCATCCGTGGGAAAGAGCTGTTGCTGGAAACAAAGTGCCTTATTATGTAAAGTAAGTTCTATTTGTGTAAAATACATATAATGGATTTAAGTTTTGAACTGTATGAAAATAAATAATCCCTGAATGTCTCAACATTTATTTATTTCAGTCATCTAACTGAAACTACTCATTGGGACCATCCAAAAATGATTGAACTAATGGATTCATTAGGTATGCCCTGAAAATTTCTTGCCTTAAGAAATTTTAGTTCTATATATGTTTCAGATGCCAAATATATCTTTTTAAAATGCTCAGATGGGTAAAATTGTAAAATTTAGTTGATATTGTTTCTGATTTATTTTAATAATAAGAATAATTATGAATTAGGATGAAGATAAATGAGTTAAAAAAATTAATGTGAGTTATTTTTTAACCTTTTTTCTTCAATAATCAATCTTTTTATTTTAATTTTCCTTCTTGAAGATTTCCATAATGAAATCAACAAAAGTCTCTTTGAATTGTCTGTTCTCTTTAATTCATTATGCTTACCCTTTCCCTCTCCAAATAGTTCTTTCTGCTGTAGTATCAGTACAGGCTTCTTTCTCTCTCTCTCTCTCTTTTTTTTTTTTTTTTTTTTTCTCTCTCTCAATAATTAACTTTTTAGATCTGATGCTATGATTCGTATTGGAAAATTCTTTAAAGTGCTTTTATCCAAACTGCTGCATGCCTCAGAGCAGATTGTAGCTTATTAATTAGGCATAATTATCTACTCAAATTAATAATTCAGGTTTAAAGGCAGATCTTTTTTTCAATAACTATATAAAGGAGAAGCAGAAGCATCCATCCTTTTAGCTTCCATGGGCCACATTGGAAGATGAGATATTTTGGGCCATACAAATTACTTTTTACATCATGGCAGCTCAGTGTCTCCCAGATAAGTGAATGACACAGTTGCATAGCTTTCATTGAAAATTCTGGGTTTGCTGTGAAAGAAAGTTTTGACTACTGAAAGAAAGTTTTGAATTTCACCTCTAGGAGAGAAATGTGTGGTGTTAATGGCATTAGTTCAAATTTTCTGATTTTTAATATTTTTAAGGTACGTAATATAAAAGAAAATGATTCTGTACTAAGCACATGAAATATGCTGTAAGAAACAGTGTTTATTAATATGTTATTAGTTAACATATATTTATTGATTAACATGCAAATGTCAAAAAATTATCAGTTGAATATATTCAAATTTAAATAGATTGTCAATAATATTAAATATTATTAAATCAAATTAATAATGTATCAATTAGATACATTATTAATAATTTGAAAGAAAATAGTATTAAGATGACTATAAAATATCACTTTAATGAAACTGCCTTTATGGTATAGTAGATGCTTATGCAAGTACTAGTTGCAGAATGTGGAAGTTAGAGACCAGTAATTTACATGATGTGAACAGATTTTATAGACTCCAGATTTGGAAAGGTTGCTAAAGATACTGAAGCATCAATAAAATCTTTTCAATAAGAAAAAAACATTCATAATTAACACGACCCCAAATATAGAAAACTATTAAGGAACCATGTGCATTATAACAGAACATTAATAATGCTGCGTGATTAGTTAAAGGCGGGTGGTGTCAGCTGGCCACATCATGCACGCTGTTAAGATCGTGAAGAGGATGTGGATGTCATAAAAATTTTTGCCTTGGGCCAACCGGGCATTTAAAAGTACTATCATACAAAAGATCCCCTTTGAGAGTTGGTATCTGTACATTGGTGTGTCTTTATTAATTGGATTGAAGAGTGATAGAACAATAATGTCACCTCTAAAGTACTCATGGCCTACTTAATCAATGATACATGCTATTCTATCCCTCTTAGAAACACATAAGACTCAGACTAAAATGGCGGAGTGAAATGTCGGCTTTAATAGTAATGAATATTAATGATAATCATTTTGTGAATAAGCATTTGGTTTCCCTGCTTTGAAAATAATGCTTGCTTTATATTTTAGCTGAATTAAATGATATACGATACTCTGCATATAGAACAGCAATGAAGCTTCGGCCAGTACAAAAAAGAGTTTGCTGTAAGTCACTTTTAATGCACCTTTTTTATTTGTCTTCAAAATTTTCTTTAATTTTACTTATTAAGATGTTATTTTCACTTTTAGTGGACATGGTGAATATGAATAATGCATAAGACTTGACTTTACCCTGAACACCCAATGGGTAAGAGCACAGAATGACAAATCCTCTATTTAACATGTGCCTGAAATTATTCCCACATGCCTTCTATAATATTCCAGTCCTTCATTTGCCAAGAGCTCAACTGTGGTAATACGTGATTACTTTACTTTTGTCCTTTATTTTTTTAAGTCACATATTCATACTCGAAATTTCATGTTTAATAGTTCCTCATTCCTAGATATGAAGTTTTTGCTAATGAGTTTCTTCAAGAATTTGATGAGAAATGTTGCCCGCCCTTTTAGGCAAAGTTTGTTATTTATTGTTTTTTCTTAACACAAAATCTGAAAACGCGATTTTATCCATAATGAATCGATTTTGAAGCATATCAAATTTACAACAAATTCCATGGAAGGTGGCCTGAGGCAGTTCTGGGCTCTTAAATTCTGCTACGACCCACCTCAATTGTCTTCCTTAAAATTCTGCTGCCGGGTGTGTTTCCCCTTTTATTCGTGTCTGGAACTGGGGTTTCTGGTGGAATAACAAAAACTATTATCAAGTCAAATAGAACTAATGAATCTTTTCGGCCCATGAGTATCTTACAAAATCTACTTTTGCATCATGGAAAGAAATTTTTGTTAACTTTGTGCTGTGTCAACATTCTTAGCACATTTAGCTTAAATATGTAAATAAGCTGTAAGTCATTGCTAAGCGTAATGTCAACATCAATAAGGTACACCATGCTGTTTCTAACTACGAATCTGTAATTATATAAAGGATGGTGAGTAGGTTACTCGTCATGGTCATGACTCTGTTGTCAATGTGTGTGATAAACTTGGCAAAAATATAATAAATAATAAATAACATCTCAAAGGTACGACATATTACTAGTGTAAAAAATCACTGATGTAGCTGTTTGTTTTGGTTTTGATTGTCATATGGACCAGCGTATGGAGCCAAATTATGATAACAAAATTTAATGTAAAATGATTTGTTCCTTCAGTTCCGTATTTTAAGTCGTCTAAGTTAAATTAGACGAGCAATCATATATTTTAGTATGCATGTGGGGGGTATCAAATGACATGATACAACCACACACAAAACCCTATATATTATATAATAAAGAAAAAAAAAAGGGGTAGTGTCCTTTGACGTCCGGATCTCGGACTTTGTACTCTGAAAACAAATAAAAGGATGCTGCCACCAACTGTTATCACCATTTTTTTCGAAGAATAATATAGGAATATTATTGTAACTGCCAGAGTTTGTATTAACCTTTATTGGGAAATGGCTAAAGATATCCAGTTGATTGTTAACGTTTGAACACCCAGATATTAGGGTGGATGGTGATTTGGTGGATTTTGGTTTGTCATAAACCGAAACCAGGACTTGCTGTTCAAATGCGCTATTAACTGCTTTTCAACGTCTCCTTTAATATGCAAAGAGCTTCAAGAGAAACTATATTTAAGTGTACTGAAGCCATAGAAGCATATAATTTTATGCTTATTTTTCACTTTTTATTGATAATCCATGTATTGGCCCGCACCAAGTGCAATATCTTAAATAATTTATTGTTGTTCTTAATATATGTTTTATTTCCTGATTTAATAACTCTTAATGCACTATCAGAAAATTCAGTCAGTTTAGTTCAGTTGATCATGTATGATAGTGATTTGTCAAACTGGTGAGACAGTAAACTTCAATTTACATGTTCTTTTAAGTTTCTCAAATGTTAGTGTAATAAATTCATAGCAAAACATTTGTAGTTAAAGTTGTCTCCCATGTGGCTTTGTCTTTAAGGTACATTAAATTGATTTTCTTACAATATATAATGTTTTAATTCTGTTGAGCTTTAATAACAAAATTATTAAATATTTAAATTTATGTTGTCTATATTTACCGTTTTATATACACACAATTATTTTTAGGGTACTGCCAGTATATCGTTATTTCTTTAAAGTTGGAATTATCTTACTTAGCCGAGGCAGCCTGGAAGACAAATTTCTTGTACCGTTATTGTAAGGTTTCTCATTATATTTTCATTCAAAAAAGTCAAATTAAAAGATGATTTTTAAGTAAAATGCAAAACCATTTTTTTAATGAAGATTTTGTTCATTAACCATGATAAAGTATTTCCATGTTTTTAAAAGTATGATTTAAGAAATTCTCTCCTTTTTGTAGATTTATTTTGTCTGATTGCTGATGTTAATGGTTGTGCTGATGAAAGGAAATTAGGATTGTTGCTACATGATTGTGTACAGGTATGTTCTTTATGAATTTGTGCTTTTTTACTCCTTTATGGAAGGAAGAAGTCGTACTGCGAAAAATATTTAGCACTCATAAACATCATTCGTTGAAAATATGCAACGAAAAATCCATTTTACACGTTTTGAACCATTTGATCAATGTTTGTGTGACATCTGTTGTAGGACAGCAATAGAGGACTATTTTTCCCCAAAAGGATAGTAAAATGGATCAGAAGAAATTTTTTAGTGACGTTGTAGACATTATATTAATGTAACTCAAAAACGAATAGCCTCAGAATGTTGAGATTTTTATGAGGACTGCTGAAACAATAATATGCCGCCCACACCAGGGTGCTCAGGGTCCAAAAATATATGTATATATACCCACTGTCTTACCCAGCTCAGTGTGCTCTGCTCTTTTATCCGTATATGTTGGTAAATTGAGGACTTTTTGCTTTAAAAGTGATTGAATTATGTTATTCTTATGTTCCAGTTAATGTTTGCCTTTAGTTAATCTGCATGTAATAGTTGTAAAATTATCAAAAATGAAAAAAATTTTAACTGTTACTAAGCCTAACAAAGCCGCCATTTGTTTGCATTTGAAGTTTTTAGTTGAATAGTGAATTCAGTTTCTGCACCAGCTTCGTTGCCTTTTTGCCAATTCGGACTAAACATAAACTTTTAGTTTTGTGCACTGAAAAATCAGCCTTCTTGCCTGCTGGCCAAATTGCTTCGTTTGCCATAGAAACTAATTTTAATTCTAAATTATATATATTATTTTGACTGTTTAAACTGTATTTAGTGTTTTATGTTTTTCTTTGTTTTACAGTTTTTAATGAAGGTGTTTTGAGTTTTTATGTATTTTTGCTTTGCTATTAAGTCAGAACTGAATTGACTGAATGAAAATATATCTCTAAAGAAATTGGAAATAAGTTTAAATGAAATGCTGCAAAAAATGTGTATAATTTTTAATATGCCATACAAGGATGTCATGTGGTTGTCCACATCAGATTTTTTGTTTTGATGCTTAAGATTTCATGCTATCATCATATATAGGTTTCAAAATAAATTATGAAAAGTGTTTCACAGAGGGGAAATATAATTCTAAATTTAAAGGGGGGGTAGTTTTGAATTACTGTGTTCCAGACATTCTTGACCAGGGAAAATCCCATTGTTTTCAAGATTTGCTTGACTTCAGATTGTCATTCTGAATTGTGACAGAAGTCACTTTTCATGTATGTTGAAGCTGACAAAAAGTACGTATGGTATGACATTACATCATTGAAAATAGCTGAAAAGTTAAGTTTAAGCTCATGTAGGTACAGCAAAAATTAATAAACAGGGTAATGAGATACATCCAGGTGATGTCGGAGGTCACGTGATGTAAGAACTGCTAATGTAAACAAACAAGCTTGTGCTGCGATAGATGTGTTGAAAATTCGAAAACTTTATTTGTTTTTAATTAGTTATGAAATTTGCATTTCATCTTTAATTACTATTTCATCCATTAATTAACTGTTCATTCATTTGGTTAGTATAATTTTGGTAACTCTTATATGTTATTGTTATCTTTACAATACTCTTTTGTTCGCTGCTTTACCATGTTTTGATTGTTAATATTTATGAACTCTTTCCTTGATCTGATAATTAATTCATTTATAAAAATGTAAAAATGAATACATAAAATCATATTTACGTAGATTGTTCTTTTACACTGAAAATAATGTTACTATAAATATTTTAAAGTCATTTTATCAGTTTAACAAGCAGAACAGTAAATATAAGTAGCTGGTTTCAGAAAATCGTAATAGTCATATTTCCAGATCACTGTAAATGCAATTGGCCCTTCAATCATGTAAGGATAACGATACCAATATTCTGTGCGGTTCAAAATTAATGTATAATTTTATACAATTTAAAATTTAATTTTTAGCAACTAACTATTATTCTGTTGATAGTATAAACTGCAAATCAACACATTTTGTATACTATAATATAAATGTAAAAACAAAACAAAACAAAAAAAAAACAGAGAAAAATTTGTGCAACTGAGTTCACTGCAGTACTAGCTGTGAAACTAATAATTTTTCATTATACATTTTCTTTTTTCATTTTAATAATAATAATATAAAAGTACTATTGTATAAATTTTAAATATTCAAAAAATAATTTCATTTATTAATACTGGTAAGTTATTTGTAATCTTGTAAGTTATAATTTATGTGCAGAATTTTTTATTTTAAAATCAATCTCGCTCAGAAAGATTTTCAAGTGTATTTATTGAAAAGATCTACCATAGGAAATAGACTAGAGTTATTCTAATGCATATACCTAAGGCACATGTTATACTCAAACTATGGACTGACACAACCACTGATTTTTCAAGGACTAAATATATACGCTAATTTAATATTTAAACTAAAAAACTCAAGCAATCTCCCATCAAAATTTAGAATTAAGTATAAAATCTTTTAATAAAAAAGCACCCTTATATATTAAAAATGTTTCAGTATTACTGATGCTTCTAATGGTTAAAGCTGTTTGGTATCCTTAGTATCTAGAATGGAAGGTATTAAAAAAAATGAATATTCCGATATTTATGTGTATTCATCAAAAATCGATTACAGACAGCTAAAATATTAAAACATGTCCCTGATGAAATTAATAAAATTTTAGCTGCATAAAATATTCTGTGACACTAATTATTATGAACTTTTGTTTTATGTTTCCAGATAAACAGATTTCACCGAATTCGGCTATTTCAGTAATTTAGAAGAACTATTCATGAACTATGAATATACTATTATTACATTTACATTTAAAAGTTTAAAAACATTATTCAAGGTCTCGGGAATAGTTTTCAGTTAATTTATGTACACTTAATATTCTTAATGAAAACATTATTAATACTGGTAAGCATCATGCATAAGAAAAAATTATAAATCTTACCTCGTTTTCTGCAGAAATTTGCACAGATGTTTTATAATTAATTGATTTCTTCATTTCGGTCTTAACACAGCTTATCATAAGTACCGTGCTATCTGGGATTAGTTTGAAACAAAAATTGTTCACATGTTTTTCCCAGAGTGACAAAAGACCCTTCTTGTTGACATGAAGGAAAGAGAAATTCTCTCCAAGCGTATTTTTTAACTTCTTGCAATAGCCATAAATTTCTAAATTCGAAAAATCAATTAATATCTGCTATCGACTCCATTGTAAACATAGCACATTCGGATGTTGTTTTTCTTAAACTACGTGACCGCATTTTCCCTCTTCTTCTCTTGTGAAATGTATCTCATTGATTATTATTATTTATTTCTAAATATGGTAAAACAAATATCACTTTTATTGTAAATTGTGTTTTATATGTTAATGGGAGGGATTTTCTTACCATAAGGAAAAAGAGAGGAATAGAATAAAAAAGATTGAAAACCACTGTTATAATTGAACGCTTGTTTGTACTGCAGAATATAAAGTTAGTGCATGTATTTGAATTTTTAATTAACAAATTAAGTTTTGCATAATAAGCATATTAGACAAAAAATAATAATTAATTTTATATACACATGTTAAAATTTCTGGTAGGAGGGACATTATTGTATATATAAAGGGAAAGGTACTTGAATGGATGCATATATGGCATGTACTTGAATGGTATGGTAAACTATTTATTTTCCTGTATTAAATTCAGTAACCAGCAATTTGTTGGATATAACAAATCAAAGCTCTGGTAGCCATTCTTACTTGCAACTGAGTTAGACATAGGTAAAAGGTCGATGAAAACTAACTCTGAGTTAGACATAGGTAAAGGGTCGATATTATCAGTGCCCACTTGGTTTGTGTTTTTAGTAGAGAATATGTTAGCTTTGAGCTGTAGCAATTGTAATGTCCTGGTATTCTCCTTACACTATGGGGTTTAGTTGCTCCTGGGACAACTTGAGTGGTTCCTTCTTTAGCTGATTTTCATTCTTTCCAGATGCAGATTTTCATTCCTTGCTTGACTAATTTTTGACAAAAAAACTGTTAAGCTCTGCTCCTCTTCTCATAATATCCCATGCATATTCAGTCTGTTTGAGGTATGGAGAGCACGCAGACCAGTTTCTTTGAGAAACATGTGTATATTTGAGGAGATTTCTCCATTACTTTAGTCTGATGAGGTGGGCATTATCATCTATAAAATGAAATGCTTGACCATTGTCACCACACAGAAAGTGAACATAATATTCAGTAACCCTTTTACAGTAGCATTTGCTAGCCATCATATTATTATCCAACATCTGGAGTTCAATATATAAATCAGTTATGATATCGCCTAAACCATTACTCCAGCACCACCATAATGACAGTTTTCTTGTATTACCTGCTGGTATGCTCGTGTCAAATGAACTGGTGTATTGAATCCAATATCCAATTTTAAATTGAATTGATTGTCATTAGTAAATAAGATATTGCCTTAGTGAGTCTGATACTACAGTAAACACCTTCTGTGGTATTAACTGGCGAGCATCACACAAATTTGTTCTTAGCATATGTACTTAATTCAAATCTAGGCTACTCTTTTGCATATATCCGTATTCCCTTGCTAAAGAAGAGGTGTCCTGACATGTTAGCTGCCCATATAGTGTCAACTGCATACAGCTAATACCACTAATATTTGTTGTCTTGTATATTTCAAAAAACCCTTCTCCAGCAAAGTGTCTAGGAATTTTAATGATTTTAAACATTTATGAAAACCAGGAGATAACAGTTCATAAGATTTTAAACTGTATTGCAATTCTGATGATTAGATTCCTTCTTTCAGCTTCCTTATAAGGTCTAAAATAATCCAGATGACATCTTTGAAGCATTATATAAATGTCACATATACAGATATATTCTTTTACATTCAGAGTTTCAGACAGTTTTGCAATAATGTTAATTTTCATTTCACATGCTTTGAGTTTCTTCATGACCCCAAAATGTAAAATCGAGATCTGCATATTCATCTGTTTTCTAATGTGTATACTGCAAGTTAACTTATCAGATTCTGTGGCAATAATTTTGCTTCCTTAATTTTTGGACACATGTGTAGCATATAGTTATAAAAAAATATGAACATTTTGATTATCCTAAATATAATGTAAAATTCTTATTATTTATTAGCTTTTAAGTTACTTTTATGTTTTAAGATTCCTCGTCTTCTTGGAGAAATAGCAGCTTTTGGTGGAAGCAACATTGAACCTAGTGTTAGAAGCTGTTTTGAAAAGGTAATTAATTTTATAGTTAGTATTTCTGTTATAATCATCTGTAGTTTATTCTTAAAAAATTCTTATAAAGAAATTCTACTGAATGCTTAAGTACTTCTTGAATTATTCTTTAATATCTAATGAATTTGTATTTATCTTGCTATATTTCAAAACAGATATTGCCTTAGTGAGTCTAGGTTTATAACTATGTACCTTGTGCAAATTTTTTATATCTTAGTTAACTATATATTGTATGGCAGAACTCCTTGCTCAAATGTAAAAGTGAGAATACCTAGTCTGACTTTGCTTCCTCCCTGCTTTTTTATGTAATTTTTTATTACTGTAATCATAGACATATTTTATTTCTTGAAGAAATTTAATATTTCTACGATATGTAAAATTTATTCTTTTGTTTATTATTTTTTGGTTTTTATGTTTCTGTTTAGTGATATACATAAAACTTTAATTACAGTAAAAAATCCAATATTCAGAGTAATCTAATAAATAAAATATCTATGCCACTATCCTATTTCCCCCCCCCTCGCTTACACAATTTAAGAATGGAGAATCTAATGTTCTAGAAAAGAACTGTATGTCACAAAAGCGATTTTTCTCCCAACTAACTGAGATATTATGTATTCCTATGTATCACTTTCAAATAGTTGCTGGCTAGGGAATCTCACTGTGGCCAACCACTGTACATTCACTGATATTAGCCATGACCACACTTTAGGAACTTCACTGTTCCTAGTCAACTAGTGTGTGAAGTCAAGCATGTATCTAACAGAGCTGCTGGTGGAGAGACTCTGAAAAGTCAAAATGTCACATTTAACACAAAATGTCTATTAATTAATTAAATAATTTCCACGGTATATTTTAAAATATCATTTCATTAATGTATTGAACATAGTATTATTTATTAGTATATCTGGTTCATGAATTATATTTTCTTTATATATGTATCTTAAGATTATTAAGCCATAATTTTAAATTAGTCTTATTTTAGTATCTGTATATGATGTTTGTGTATTTCCACATTTGTTTTTATGCATAATCATTACCACCTGCATATTATTTTATAACATGTAATTGCATGCAGCATTACAGTTACATTTCTTTATATTTATATTAATTTACGGCAAGGTTGCGTTCTGTGTATTCACAAATAAGCTACTTATTCAATCAATCACATTTATTTTTAATTTACATAGTGAAAAAAAAAGAACATTCTACAAAAACATATCATGCAGCGTATATGCACGCTAGCGATAACGGCACAAGCACGAGGAAGAACTAACTACAACAAATCAGTTCACTTCACTTGAGAGAAAAGTACAGAGTTTAGTTGCAGCACTGCTATACATGAAAAAAACAAACAGTTAACATTTAATTTAAAAGTTCGTTGCATGGTTGCTGCATACTCCCCTCCCAGTGTCAACGATATCGTACAGGGAAATGAACATGACGCCCAGAACGTGTAGTCTTAGGTTGCACCTTTGTTGCAGGCTGTGCTGAAGTTGGTGATATCAGATGGACACACTCATTTGATGGGGTATCTGGGTTAAGTGGCAAATCATGTACCACAGTGCCCTGCAAACGGTGAGGTGAAGTTGGTGGTGGAGCGATTGGTTTATCCCTGTTCAGAACATAAGCTGGCTTTACACGATCAATGGATACAGGTACAGTTTTGCCATTTATGTCTAGGTAAAAGACCTTCTCTGTTCTACGAACAACTAAAAACGGTCCATCATAAGGAGGTTGAAGTGGGCGTCTCACCATATCATGACGAAGAAAAACATGGGTAGCTGTGGCTAAATCACGGTGTATAAAGGTTTTGCTATCACCATGGTCTCTTGGGTGGTATGGGGCGAAGTGTTTGCATATATGTGCACGTAAGTGGCTGACAAAATCTGTGGTGTCAACCGGTTGTTGAACAGGAAACTCCCCAGGCAGACGAATGGTGGTGCCGAAAAACCAAATCTGCTGGTGTGCAACCCAAATCTTCTTTCAAAGCAGCTCGAAAACCAAGAAGGATCACAGGAAGGACTTCAGTCCACCGCTCAGTGGCATGGCACTTGATAGCAGTCTTAAGAGGTCGATGCAATTCCTCTATTAACCCATTCGACTGGGGGTGGTAACTAGTCGTCCTGGATCTCTGAATTCCCAAGTGATGAGTGAGAGAGCGAAAAAGTGAAGCTTCAAACTGGCGTCCTTGGTCAGTTGTCACAGTAGAGGGCACTCCATACCTGGAGACCCAGCATGTGAAAAATGCTTCTGCAACAGTTTCAGCAGAGATATCCTTGAGTGGTTGAGCTTCTGGCCATCGAGAGAAACGATCAATTAAAGTCAAGCAGTAAGAATAACCATTTGAGGGAGGGAGAGGGCCTATAAGGTCCAAAGTGAACATGGTCAAATCTTTGAGAAGGCTCCTTAAAACTTGCCAAAGGTGCTTTTGAATGGCGATGAATTTTAGCCTTTTGACATGGGATGCAACATTTGGTCCATTCTGCTATATATCCGATAACATTTTAGGCCAAACAAATCGTGACCGCACAATGTGTTGTGTTCTGCGTACACCAGGGTGAGCCATGTTGTGTAATGAGGCAAAAACATCCTGGCGAAACTGTGTTGGGACATAGGGACGAACTCTGCCAGTCGATACATCACAGAATAGATCAATGTTTGATTTCGGGAGAGTAATTTTTTTTAACTGCAGGGATGTGTCTGATGACAGTAAGGACTTCAACTCATCATCCAATGTTTGTGCTTTAGCTATTTTCAGAATAATCAACTGATGCAGGAAGAGTTAAGGTTAAGGCAGCTATACGGGACATGACATCTGCAGGAATATTCTCAGGCCCTGGAATGTGCTGTATGTTAGTTGTGAATTGCGAGATGAAATCTAAATGCCTCACCTGGCGTGGAGAGCACTTGTCATTCTTTTGACGGAAAGCATATATCAGAGGCTTATGATCAGTATAGAGGACAAACTCTCTAGCCTCCAACATATGTCTGAAATGGCGAATGGATGCATAAGCAGCAAGGAGCTCCCGGTCATAAGCACTGTACCGAGTTTCTGCTGTACTGAGCTTCCTCGAGAAAAAACCTAAGGGCTGCAATTTGGAGTCCACAACCTGATGCAATGCACCACCAATAGCATGATCAGATGCATCTACATGCAAGGCAAGTGGGGCAGTTGGAGAAGGATGAGCAAGTAACGTGGCATTAGCTAGTGCTTGTTTGCATTTTTTCGAAAGCCTCTGTTGCAAGCGAAGTCCAAATAATTGGTTTCTTCGAATTCTTCTTACCAGAAACCCTTTAGGATGTCACTTAACAAAGCCTTGGTTGTCTGCTGCATGAGGCAAAAACCTACGATAGAAATTAATTAGGCCTAGAAACTTACGCAAATTACCAATAGTTTCAGGCAACTTAAAATCTAGGACTGCTTGGACTTTATTTTGCAAGGGTTTTTAACCCCTTCCTGGGCTTATATGGTGACCAAGAAACTCCAAGCTCAGTGACACCAAAACACACATTTTGAAACATTTAACTTGAGACCATAAGTACTCAGTCTTTGAAATATAGCATGCATGCAAGTGCTTCTTATGCTCCACTGCATCATTTGAAAAACATAGTATATCATCAAGATAAACATAACAAAACGGGAGAGACCCCTTAGGACCTCGTGCATAAAGCGCATGAAGGTTTGGGGTGCATTCACTAAGCCAAAACACAGATGAGTATACTCGTAGAGACCCCATGGGGTTGTCACTGCTGTTTTAGGAATGTCAGCGTCTGCAATAGGAATTTGGTTGGTGAAATGCTTTAAAGATGTCTACTTTTGAGAAAATGGATTTACCGTAGAGTGAATGAGCAAAGTCTTGAAGGTACGGAATAGGATAACTATCAAATTCAGTCACAGAATTCAGCTTGCGGTAATCTCCAACCGGACGAACTGTAGAATCCTGCTTAGGGACGACATGCAATGGTGAACTCCATGGACTCTTGGAAGGACGGATTATCCCTTGATCCAGGAGGAATTCGAACTCAGATTTCACTGCTTCGTGCAGCTTCGGATGGAGTCGTCTCGGTTTTGAAGTCACAGGTGGTCCACGAGTCAAGATATGATGCACTGTGTGTTATGAGGAACAGTCTGCTTAATTAGAGTAGGATTTGTTATATCTGGAAACTCAGAAAGCAAGGAGTCATAATCTGAATTAACAGAAACTGTGACAATAGAAGGTTGGCTTTTGTGAGCAACATTGCCATAAGTAAACAGTGAAGTTTCAGGATTTATAAGACACTGCCGTTTCAAATCAACAAGAAGATTAAAATGTTTCAAAAAATCTGCACCGATGATAGGAGAAGAAGTTACATCAGCAATCACAAATGTCCATGAGAAGGGCTTCCGGAGACCCAAGTCGACTTGTCTGCGCACAAATCCATATGCAGGAATTTTAGAATTGTTGGCAGCAAAAAGGGCAAATGTTTCACAACAGTTTCTCTTATCTTTAGGAGAAGGAGGTAACACTGAGATCTCACTACCAGAATCAATCAAAAATTTTTGACCAGTCTTCCTGTCGTGAAGAAATAATCGACTGGGCTTTTTGGATACTTCCGTCATCCCAGCTATGACGGGAGTTACAGGTTTTTTTTGCTGTTGGTACGCGCAAGGCTTAGCACACTTGCGTGCCTTATCACCAAAACGGTTATGATAGAAACACACATTACTGGAAGTATTACCTTTTCTGGAGCGAGAGGTTGAGCGACTCCGGAACCTAGTTGTCCTCCGATCATGGGAAAGTTCAGAAACTTGGCGTGTAAGTTCTTCGATCTGCCTGGCTAGGGGTTTCAGTTGTGATGGCATTGGGATCCAAGGATGTTCCAGCTCCAGAAGTAGCACAGATTGCACTAGGTTGAACAACCTCAGCGACTTTATCAGCTATAATTGCTAGCTGATCAAGTGTTTCAGAAGAAGCAGACAGAACTGTTTGGATATGGGCTGGCATCTGTTGCATCCATAAATTTTGCAAAAAGTCATCATTAAGCTGTTTCCCAGAAAGCTCTTTCATTTTCCGTAGGAGATGACTAGGCCGTTCATCCCCAACTGGAGTTCAGTGAGGAGTTTTTTAATTTTCTGGTGTTCAGAATCTTCAAATTCACTGATGAGCCTCTCAGACAGTTTTTTATATTTGTCCGAGTCCGGAGGGTTTAGTACAATGTCCGAGACGTGCGACAGAGTTTCCGCATCTATATTCGCTATAAGAGCAGAAAATTTCGTTTCATCACTCGTAATTCCGCTGTAAATGAAGGCATTGTCACATTGTGCGATCCACAACCGCACGTTAGCTTTCCAGAAAGGTGGAATGCGAAGTGCAACTTTCGCTACTTGGCTCTGCTGATCGGGTGGAGGCATCGCTAGTATGTGGAAATAGTCCCGAAGAGCAGAAACAAAATACTTGTAATTATCTAGAAAGCGAAGTCGCCACAGTGGGATAGGCTTACCACAGCAAGGCTTAGCGAAGCATGTGACCAATTAACGTAACTTATTTTTCATCCATAGGTCACCAATTACGGCAAGGTTGCGTTCTGTGTATTCACAAATAAGCTACTTATTCAATCAATCACATTTATTTTTAATTTACATAGTGAAAAAAAAAGAACATTCTACAAAAAAATATCATGCAGCGTATATGCACGCTAGCGATAACGGCACAAGCACGAGGAAGAACTAACTACAACAAATCAGTTCACTTCACTTGAGAGAAAAGTACAGAGTTTAGTTGCAGCACTGCTATACAAGAAAAAAAACAAAGTTAACATTTAATTTAAAAGTTCGTTGCATGGTTGCTGCAAATTCATATGTTTTATATTTGCTCATTTCTTTATATTTTAGGCGGGAAATCAGAAAGAAATCCAAGCTAGTCATTTCTTAACATGGTTGCAACAAGAACCTCAATCTTTAGTTTGGCTTCCAGTTCTTCATAGGATGGCTGCAGCAGAAACTGCTAAACATCAGGCAAAATGCAATATTTGTAAACAGTATCCAATAGTTGGATTTAGGTAACTACTGTTATGAAATTTAAACATTGAATTTAACTATTGCGATGCAAATAAATTAAATTTAAACCTCACTGTTGATTTTTAAGAGGTATTCCTTATTCATCATTTCTTATATATAGTTAAATGCATTTTTGGATCAGCTAATTCTGTGATTATCCCGTGCATCATTATACGAGGGCTATCCAGAAAGTAGATTACGTTTTGGAATAAAAAAATAAACAAAGTATAGGAAACAAATTTTATTATATACAGATGAAAGCCACACTCAAATACTACTTTTCTACATAGTCACCATACAAATTAAGGCATTTATCGTAGCGATGTACGAGCTTGGAAATTCCTTCGTCGAAAAATTCGGCCGCCTGCGCCTTCAACCACTTCGTTACCTCTTCTTGCAGCTGTGCGTCGTCATCAAAACGCTGCATAGCCAGCCACTTCTTCATTGCTGGGAATAGGTGGAAGTCGCTCTCGGTTGCCAGGTCGGGACTGTACGGTGGATGAGGAAACAAACTCCCACTTAAAAGATTCAAGAACTTTAGGAGGAGTGACATTTGCCGTGTGGGGCCGGGCGTGTCGTGAATCAACAAGATCTTAGAGCTCAACATTCCTCTGCGCTTGTTTTGAATTGCTCTTCTGAGTTTTGGAGAGTTTGGCAATACCTTTGAGAGTTTATTGTAGTACCTCTTTCCAGGAAGTTCCCACCAAAATTACACCTTTTCTGTCCCAAAAAACAGTCGCCATCATCTTCCTTGCCGACATTGTTTGCATGCATTCTTGGGGTTTTTGGGAGAACTTGTTGTGCCCCACTGCATTGATTGCAATTTCGTTTCACAGTTCACATTGTTTCACCCATGTTTCGTCACCAGTAACGATGCGATCGAGTAAAGAGTCACCATCCTTATGGTAAGCATCCAAAAAGTTCAATGCTGCAGCCATTCGCTGATTTTGTGGTCCTCTGTCAAGATTTTTGGAATCCATCTTGCCCAAATTGTGGTAACCAAGCTTTTCGCTGATGATTTGTGCAACAAACTTCGCGAAAATTTGTGGTAAACTCAAAGAAAGTTCCGTTATTGTGAAATTTCGATTTTCACGGACTTTAGCATCGACTTTTTGAGAAGTTCGGCGGTCACTATGCTGGTCTCCCACTTCGATCTTCGTCGTGAACATTGGTTCGGCCATTTTGAAATCTTATGACCCACAACCGCACTCCACCTTCAGTGATAATGTTGTCCCCATACACTTCACGAAGCTGCCGATAGATTTCTATCGGTTTTACAGTTTTTTGCAGTCAGAAAGAAACCTTATTACTGAGCGCACCTCGCAGCTCGCGGGATTTTCAATTAACGCAGACATTTCAAACCGTCACAGTATCTGAACGGAGCACAGCACGAACCTCTCACTAGCACGGCTAGGTGCAGACTGAGCTGCGCAACGCTCTGACCCCAAGATGGCCGCGCTAGCCCCGCCCCTAGCGGACACAGACGGAAACGTAATCTACTTCCTGGATGGCCCTCGTAAAAACCAATGCTTTATCTACCTGTAAGGATGGTTAATTTAAAATCTAAATATGTACTTCCAGTCTTAGGCCCTAGGTGGTAGCACTGTTTCAGGTGTCCTTAATGTCCACTTTCCTTGCTTTTATAAAGGGGGAAAAAAACAGGATTATTGGGAAATATAAAAGAAGCCTAGCCTCCTGAAACCTAGGGCTTAGGGCTTTGGGCTTTGTTAGCTTAGGCACTGAAAGTATGTAGTTATTTGTATTATCTTTATTGTTCATAATGTGATGATAATGATGCACATGCATAAATGCAATGCGTTTACCTCTGCACATAAAACCTCTGTGCATGCGCATAATACGTTTATGCATGCACGTTTAATATATAACGGATAAGCTAGGCTAAAATTATCTAATTATCTATTTCAATTAATGTTGCAGATTGCATTGTTTCCTTAATCTTCTAATTGGATCCGGCTTATTATTTTTTGCAGACTGTTAGAGCAATTTTATACTTAGCTATATAAAGTAAGCTTGAACTTTCGATTATGTCGAAAAGAGTTTCCGATTCTGGAGCTGCCAAAGGATCTACAAAGCGAAAGCATGTTTCGATGTACCGCTTCCAATAGTGAAGAAACAGAGAGGTTATTGAAAACGAAAAAATTTCGATTGACAAATTAGTCGGTATTCTCGACACAGCAATTACAGGACTTGAGCAGTGGAACTGAACAAGAAATTATGTCTGTTTATAGAATTAAAGAGGAAGTATTAGCACAAAAAATGAAACAACTTAAACAACTTACATTGAAAGAAATGTTTAATAAAGTAAACAAATAAATATTAAGCTTTTTTTTGTAAATTTTGATACCCTTTAGATATTAATTGCTCTTTATTTCATAAATTAGGTTTCATATATTTAATTTTATAATTTCTACATGCCATCTTACCAGATTAAATTGATGATCTATAATCTGGAAAAACCTCTAATCCGGAATCGCCGAAGTCCTGAGGAGTCCGGATTAAAGACTTTGTACTGTAATAAAGATTTAAATTTAAACATTAAGTCAGATTTTCCGTTTTTCTTTTAAACTTGCAATATATATTGTAAAGGTGTGTAGTTTCTCTGGCATGTTATTTTTTAGTATATATTTGATTTCTTTAAAACTTAATATTTCTAAATATTTGTATTAATTTAATGCCTAACTTTCAGATTTTTTAAAAATTTTATATAATGCTTTATTTTGCAGGTATCGTTGTCTAAAATGTTTTAATATCGATTTATGTCAGAATTGCTTTTTCTCTGGTAGAAAAGCTAAAAATCATAAGCTCACACATCCTATGCAAGAATATTGCACAGCTGTAAGTAATTATAACTTTTTGTTTTGAACTGTAAATCTTGAATTATAACTTTCAATATGAATGTTGATTTTATTTTTCTTATACCAGTTTATATTGTAATATAAAGCATGAAAATGAAATAAAATATCTGTAGAAACATTTTTCTGACACTGTTGAATATCATATACAAATCTAAAGATTGCCTAAATATTAAAACAGTAGTAGTAAGGTTTTGCAGACCTTCTGGGAAAACTTTATTAGTTCTCAAAATTCACAAAAGGCTTTTCCAGGACTGCAAAATGATTATATATGTTGAGCTGAGTGTTACAAACTTAAACAAGTCCCAAAAAATGTTTGTGAATGGAAGTGTCATTAAAAAGGGAAAAGTGCTGTATGGACTGAACTTAATTTATTAGAGAGTCCAAAGAAATCATCTGCTATAAAAATAGATACAAATTTTGTGGTTTAACACGTTGGACAGCGACACGAATATTCATTGTTCTTTTCGTGCGAAGCTTGAATTAACAGTTCGTTTTGTGGGGCAGCACAACACCAAATTATAAAATAAAAATTTTTTAATTGAGGGGAAAAAAAAACTGAAGGATTTCAGATTTTAAATTATGTCCAAAGGATAGTTTTTTTAACGTTTTGTATGTTACTATTATTTATTAAATAGCATGTTGTTTGCACTTAAACCATAAAATTCAGTTCAACAGCAATATCGCATAGTATTCTAAACATGAGTCATACCTTTAGATTTTCCTGATACACAGTCTCATGCGGGATGGAGATTAAATGGGTTTTTCTCACCTGTACAGTGTTGCCATTGTTCGCTTTGAAACTGGCGAGTTCGTTAATTAAAAATTCTTTAAATTTTTAGAAAATATAATGAAGAGATAAGTAAAACAAATTCCAAATGTTCCAAATTTATTCTTCGAGATGCCCATATTCGAGTAGAGGACTATGTCATTCAAAATTCGATGGTCTCTCGGTCCCGTTGTTTTTTCACAATGCGAAAAACATGCATACATTCATGCGTATTCTTTATTGTTTAATTTCTTCAAATATAATGCAGGACTCTAACATTTGGTGGCAACAGTTTGAAAAGTGATTTGCTGTTTAAAGTGATTCAACGCAAAATCGCAAAATGAAAACAGTAGACCTTCAGGGACAAAGCTCCTTTGGACTAAAAAGAAAATGAGGAGGGTTGGACAGTTTTATGTCTATCGTTTAACTGGGCAGTTGGCAAAATTCAAATTGCATTTTTCATGTCTCGAAAACACGACTTAGGGTACATATTAGATTTATATATAGCAGTTAATCTAACATAGGTATTTGACACAAAATTTGACTTTTTTTAAACGACATTGCAATTTTTTTTCCATATTTCGATTCTACGACTCAAATTATGCCTAAATTTTGTAAAATTTGGTGCGAAATTTTCAGAGAAATTCCAAAATTTATCTTTTCGGATTTTTTTTTCAGTTTGCGCCAAGAATAATTTACTTGGCGAACTTTTTAATTTATAGCAACCTATTTTTCTGTTCCTGTTTTTCATTTTAGATGAGCGGGAAAAAAGTCATCATTCGTACTTTAAGTGCGTAAGCCACATTTGGCTTTATCTCTCAAAAAGAATGAATTTTTAATGCATTTAATAAAACTTGAGTAACTTAAAAACTTTTTTGGGTGAGAGGGGTATTTATTTTAGTCTGTACCTATAGTTGTCTTATAACAACGCAGATTTGAAATATTATTCAAAGGTTCTTTTCATTTGCAGGTTAAAAAACGTGCAAAAATTTGAAACATTTTGAAATGTTAACATTGAAAAATTGAAAATTTTGGATATTGATGAATACACAAAATATGTGTACATACCAGTCTATTTTACCATTTACTGCTATAAAATATACTCAAATCTATTTTTATAAAACTTTACATCATGAAATATACGATCAGTAATGTATAACATCTCCAGTACTTTTACCATGTGTACAACTATTGTATTATTAGTAATAGTTGTGTATACAATAGTTTTAGTGTATACAACAAAAACGGCCCTTACTTTAAAAACACACTACGTACATACACTCCTAACCCACCTTGAAAGTTCTTTCCTTTATTATCACAATCGTTGGCTGTATTCATACACTTCCAATTACAGAAGTATTTTTAATGACAAAAATATTAGATTTGGCAATGTCAAATTTGGGGGGGGGGAGTGATGACAAATAACAAAATCTAAATTTAATTTTATTGCAGTCGCCCAGTAAATATTAACAGAAGTAACAAATGTGTTATTTTATTTTTGGGGAACACTGAGACAATGTCATTTTTACTCAGGTTATATATTATTTTAGTTATGTATGTTTATGTGTGTGTTTATATATTTAATTTATCAGACAACATCAGGTGAAGATGTCCGAGACTTCACAAAAATAATGAAGAACAAATTCAAGTCAAAACGATACTTCAAAAAGCATCAAAGGCTAGGCTACCTCCCTGTACAAACAGTTCTAGAAGGGGATGATCTGGAAAGTCCTGCTCCATCTCCTCAACATACACTGTCATCACAAGAAATGCATTCCAGACTTGAACTTTATGCTAGCAGGTATTATATAGTTTTATTATTGAGAAAACAGGAAGTTTTTATTTATTTATTTATTTTATTTTAATCCCTGAGGGTAAAATTTTCTCACAATGACTTCATTTTTTATATGTTTTGTGCTGAGATTCTTATTTTTTAAAGTACAATTTTCTCACATTGACTTCATTTTTTGTTAGGCCTTTAATATACAATTTATGATATTGGTAATACTAAAAGCATTAATAATGTGTAGCAGAATTTGTGAATGAAATTACATATAACGTAAGCCATAGAAGTAAGTTAAATAATGGTTTTTGTAAGTATTAGGGGGGAAAAAATTACATAATTCACCTTTGAGATAGTCATTGTGATAAATTCAAAATTTAAATTTTCAATCTTTGCATCTTTTTTATAAGTAATGATGCAATTAGATTTTAAATACTTAAATTCTTGCTTTGGAATCTAAAAAGTTACAAACATTAAAATGCCTCTCCATTGCTTATATTATAATACCATGCATTCATCATCATACAGTGTGTTGTTACATTATTCTACCATATGCTTATTATTGACACAACTTGTCATTACATTATTGCCATGCATTTATTATGCTCACAACTTGTTAGTTATTGTAATTGTATGAAATGAATGAGATTTTTAATTTATCTCTCTCAAAACAGAAGATAAACATGCCAAAGTTAAATATAAAATTAGCAAAGCAACAGTGTCGTGTTTGGCATAGATTTAGTCTAACACTCAATCGATTTGGAGGCAAACTGTCCTTCTTTATCGGGAGCAAAGAAACCCGTAAGTGGGAATCCAGTCTTGGAGACTTCTTTGCTCCTTAAGGGACCTGTACCTGTTTGTGTTTTAAATTGATTGAGTTCTTGACTAAACCAGCAACAAGGTTGTTCCTTTTCTGATTTTATCTCTCTCGTCTAACCAGTCTGCAAATGTATAACAAACTGCATATTTTATCAGCTGTGGATACTGTTCTTCATAAATTAGATCTTTTTTTGCATTATATCAAATTATAAACATTTTTGAACATTGGCATTGTTTTTATAATTGATAAAAGAACGTTTCTTAAATCTATGTATCGTATGGAAAAATGAAGAATTTTTTCAACAAATTCAGTTTTCATAATTTTATAAAAATTTTCTTTTGTTTTTAGGTTAGCTGAAGTAGAGTTGAGAGCAAGGAGCAATTCAACGCCAGATTCGTAAGAATACATTTATGTAATTTATATTTATTTAAATTCTTAAATAAAAGAGTGCTTTGTTTCAGGAATGGGAAATTTTTTAATTAATTTAAAATATTTCTGTTATAAATGCAAGGATTTCAAATATGGAGCATTTATATTCTGAAATGGGAAGTGAGAAAGATAATGTATTTTACAATTTTTGATAGTTTCTGTGTTTTTAATGTATCTCATTTCAGTTATAATAATTAAATATGTGTATATTTAAAATAAACATGCATCTTTAAGGACAAAATAAATTTTCTCTATATCTTTCTTAAGTTGAATAATTTCTTGTAATATTTAACTGCAGTTTATTTGCCTAAATTTATCTTAGGCAGCTACCTAGTTTCGCCAATTTATTATTAAATATTATGTATAAGTTAATCAGTATTTTATTGTTTAAAACAAATGTGACTGTGAAATTATCATGAAAATTTATGAATAAAAATATTTTAGAAGTGAAGATGAACATCAGTTGATTGCACAGTATTGTCAGACCTTGAGTGGAGAACTGGCATTACCTGTGGTAAGTTCTCTCTGTTTTTGAAATGTATAAATTTTCTTATCTGTGGAGTAATTAAAAATGTTTGTGAATTTTATAGAAGTAAAATTAATGCAGTTTTATAGAAATTAGAACTTTATCATTTTCAATTGCTTCAGTTAGTAATCATATTATTGTTCGTGTTTCATACATTGAAAAATTGATTTCTTGAAAATTGCATTATGGCAGCTGTATGTTGATGTAATAATCTTAAATTTACATCTAAGAATCTAGTAGCTCAATTAGGAATTTTAAATTTTACTTTTCACATATTAAAGGCATGATATAGCTTGTATATTAAGACAGTGTATGTTTATCTAAGGATTGTCTTGGTAACTAAACCCAGACTTTGGGTGGAAACATTTTGTGTGTCCACATTAGTTTCCTGGCTTTAATTTTTTTAATTATCAGCTTCTAGAAAGTAACACTTCATAAATTAAAAAAGAGTTTTAAAAATGTGTAGATATTTTATATATATATCACAAATATGCATGCAAGATGTTTAACAAACATGTACTCATTTGCCATGGGAATATAGTTATTGCACGTAGCTGTTAATTATTTTGATAAGTTGATTTCATGTCTGTGTTTGCATATCATAAGCAAATGTAATAAATATCTTTTTTTATAATTAAAAAAAGAGAGAAAAGAAGAATTATTTGGTTTCCAGGATTGTTCATTTGTATTTTTTCTTTAATAACGTAGCATAAACTATATTCTGATGCATATATTATTTTTCCAGTTCACTATTATTTAAATGTGTTGCTTTATTAATATTTAGTGTATGGATAATTAAGGCGGAACTGTATTCAATTTCTTATCCATTTAATTGCATATACATATATAATTTTTGTTTATGCTTATTTTGCAGCCAAGAAGTCCTGCACAAATTATGGCTTCAATTGATGCTGAACAAAGAGAAGAGCTGGAAGCAATGATTCATGAATTAGAAGAAGAAAACAGGTAAGAAATGCTATTATTTTGCTAGTTGCGATATTTTAAAATTAAAATAAAATCAGTGGAATTAGATTTTATGTTTACTATTAGAGAAAATTCTACTTTATTAAAATAATACATTTATGTAACCCTTGGTATAACAATCCATTCATATATGTATCTTCCGTAAGTAAACTTCAACCAATTTTCATTAGCTTAATGCAATTTTTTCACGAATACAATAATTCATCAGTTATCTAAAATTGTAATGTATACAGAGCACAAATATAGCAAATATGAGTTTTTCTTGTAAATAACAAAAAATTGTACTGTTTGCCCCATGAAAACTGAATTAAGCAAATTAATGTGTGTGATTACTTTCTAGTAAATTTGTCTTAGTCCCAAACCCATGAATATCATACTGAAATTTAATCTTAGTTTTAGTATAAGACAAAAACCATACTGAACTGAAAATTAAGAGATATTTTTGAACCATATTATTTTAGAAGAACCATATTGTGTCTTTTATCAACACTCAAGATGATCATTGTAACTTTAACCAATATTTAATTTTCTCAGATCTTTGTACTTTTTAATAGGTATCAGTTATCAAGAATTATAGTTATAATTGAATTCCTTTTTGATTTAAAATTTTAATGATATACCATGTTGATAAATTATTTTTTGATGAAGTTTAGCAACATTTTATACAGTTATTTGATTTTACATTTGCCCCTGAAAGGATATGAATTAAGTTAATGTGCTGTACTTATCTTGTGGATTCCTATATATATTCAGAAAATAATGTAATATGTCTGATGATTTTTAAATGATTAATTTCCATTTAAATGTATTATGAAACAAAATTTGCATATATATGTATACTATAAGGGATTTTAATTCATTTAAAAACTCTCAAAGAATTTTTTTTTGTTAATTTATATTATGTGGTTATGTTTTTTCTGTCATATAAAATTGTATTATTTGTGCTTTAATATATATATTTATATTGGGTTTTTAGGCATTTACAATCAGAATATGAAAGGCTTCAAGGATCTAGAAGCTGTCGGAGTGTTTCACCAACAGTCACAGAAGAAGAAGAAGAACAGACACCTCTAACGCCAATCCGAGATGAAGAGATGTTGGCAGAAGCTAAGTTATTAAGGCAGCATAAAGGTCGTTTAGAAGCTAGAATGCAAATTCTAGAAGATCACAATAGGCAATTAGAAGCACAGCTACATCGCTTGAGGCAGCTTTTAGATGAAGTAAGAAAAAAAAAAATATGTTAAAACTAATATTATGATAATTGAAAGGTGTACACAGTAAGTTTTAAACAGCTTGAATTTAGACTGTGTAGATTTATTTACATGCAGATTGCAGATTTTTTTATCAGTAAATGTATTTGAAAATTTTCTGAGATTTGTAGTAGTATAAAAAGTTCATAGGTAAACTGTATAGGTTTGAAATATCTGTAAAAAATAAAAAGCTTTGCATAAAATACATATGGGTTTAGCCTTATTTTCCTATTTGCTATCATTAAATGTGTAATGAGCTAATAAGAGGAGAAGGGAAAGATTTCTCATATCTAGGATTAGTTATACTTTCCATGTCTATTGTATTTTCAATCATATAAACAATATTGATATTCTCCATATAATGTCATAATGAATCTTAAAAAGAGCCTCAATTATAGCACTGAAATTTAGAAATTTGTTCAGTGTTTCAGCTGGAAGAAAAGAACCTTTTTCTTGTTAAATCTCTAGGCATCTGATCTGCAATAAAATTTCTTAATAAATCTAAAATTGCATGCATGAAAATAATTCTCTATAAATATTTTAACGAAGAAAACTTTTGTTTACTATTTTTTTTTCATCATTATCATTTAAGCAATGATTCAAATATCTTGTCTGAAATATTTGTGACATTTTAAGCAAAAGATAATGAAATTTAATATTACATTATTCTGCAAAATTATTTTATGTATTTTTAATATTTCAGATATTTCTTATAAAATTTTTACGATATTTCATAATAAAAAAATCATTTGTGTGGTGTAAAATGATTTATAGATCATGAATTTATCTTACAGCCTCAACCAGTTCCAGGCCGTGGCAATCCTCAAAATAATGGCTATGGAACACCTCAAACTTCATGGAATCGTACTGTTATCGTCGAGCAAAATTCAAGGAGAAATGGCCAAATATCAGATCATAGTGGTAAGGGCATGAAATTAACACTGAGTGCATCATCAAAAATGTTCGATATTTTGTATGTTTATTAAAATAGCACCATAAAAGATTTTTGACTAACATTAAGTTGATTAAATTCAGTTAAATGTTGTATAGTATTTGAAATTGTTTGAACAGCATTTTTGTTGTTTAATTAATAACAGTTCTGAATTTAATATTGTTGCGTTTCCCCCCCCCTTCCTCTTGACATTCGTACATTATGGGGTTCGTGCGGATTTGGAGTGAATAACGACAACAGCACTTGATGAAGTATCGAAACACACTTTATTTAGCCAATATTAATCAGGACAGCTCCAAAATCATGTTACAGTCATCAAAGAAGTACTATGAACATGCTGGAGCAATCAGCGACACAGCCTTCACACCATCAGGCTATAGCGGTGAAGACAGCTTCACGGCAAAGCACTAGAGTACAGCTTCCGACTCTGTTCGTTTGTTCTTGAAACTCCATGTAATCTCGAGACTCTCCACGCTACAACTCACGATGCACTCAATGATACACAAGAGTACAGCTCCCAGCTCCTTGATTCAGTCATTCTCGGAGCTTAACACACTCTCTCAACGATGCACTAGCCACGATACACTAAGAGACTCTTTCGATGCACTCGACGACTAACTGGCTGACTGACTATCAACTCGATGGACTCTCTAACTCTGCACACACTGACTAACTCCGCATACCAGTGGGATTTATATAGCTTTTGGCTTGTGTTCGAGAACATTCTGGTCTAAACCAGTAAGAATTCGTTCCAGAAGGTTCTCCATCCGTCTATGGCATATCGGTAATTTTTCCGCCAAATGTGGTAACCCTGCCTTCCCTTGCTATTTTCTGGCAACCCTAAACCTGCTTTGTGGGGAACACGGAGTATAAAGAAGGAGGAGAAACTGGTATTACAACTTTTCCCAAAAATGGTCCACTTTTGTTGCATTATTTATAGAGGGCACTGCAATCGTTAGCTTTTCTACTTTTCATAGGATATGACATAGGCAGCAATACAGAAAATATTGATTTGATATCAATTTCCATCATGAGTAATTCTTGTAACGCAACCTGCTTCGTCCCTCGATGCAACAGTGGTTATACATCTGTTAGGCAGAAGAATAAAAGCTTGGGAATCAAGAATCCAAGTATATTTAGAGCTCCAAAGGTGAGCAACATTTATATCATGCCTGATCACAGTCAGACGAATTTATATAACTTTAGAGAACGTCTGGATTGCTAGTAAATAAGAGGTTATTTAAAAAGTAATAGATTGTAAATTAGTTAAATATTTCACAGAACTTTAAATTGGAAACTAGTTAAATATTTCACAGAACTTTAAATTGGAAACTAGTTAAATATTTCACATAACTTATGTGCATTTGCATTTCGTGCATGAAAGCAGGCAATCCTGAGATTTTAAAGTTAAATAAATTTCTGGAATTATGCAAAGAATGATGGAATATTTGCCCTCTTTATTTCATTTACAGAAAAGAAGATTAACTCATTTCCCCTTCATTTTCCGTTTGAAGTAGGTTTTTATAATAAATGGAAATGAACACTGTGCTGCTTAAAACTTAACAGTTACTTGCATGGTTGAGTGAAAACATAACAGCAGATAAGTGTAATGAAAAATTGATTTTCCATGAGATAAATTCAGCATATTAAATTAAGTTATGAATATTATGAAATCATGCCACCTAATCACATAAATGAACGGCTGTTAAAAATTACAGTTTTAAAATCTTGATACACTGCACAGTGAGAACCATTATGCACAAGGATTTTAAATTTGAATGTGTAAAACTATTCAAGCGTTATGTGCTGCAATTAAATTTTAATTTGCCATTACTATTTTCAAATTAAATTTTAATCATTAAATTTCTTTCACTGCGAGTCTTTAATCGTTGGAAAAGAGATATTAAATTGAGAATAAAAATGTAAATAATTACTGCAAGAGAAAACAGACTTATATATATAGTACTTATATAGACTTTTATATAGTTAATGATATTTTTTAAATACCGCAGCAAGCATACATTAGGTATTCTGATATTAAACTGGTAGTTTTGCAACAAATGTAATTAGAGTCTATTAGTAAATGATCAGTTCAGTAAATGAAAATAAAAAATAGGGGATCTTTTCCAGTAAAACATAACACATGCAAAGCATTTTTTTTTTTTTTTTTTTTTTTTCAAAAAAGCTACATGTGCCAATTTGAAACTTAACAGCGAGAAAATATCATAACATGATAGCTGTGATAAAATTTTTCTGAACATAAGAAATTCATCTTTTAGGCTATTGAATAGGATAGAATTTTCCTCCTTTGGAAAGAAAAGAGGACATGTACTTTTAAAATAAAAAAGATCTGCATTATATTTTTACTTAAAATACTGCATTTATTGGTTAGAAGTTAGTTCAAGCAGGACAAAATTAAAGATATATTGAATTAGTCATATTATTTTTTACTCTTTATATTTTTAAAATTATGAATAATATAGTTCAGCATAACCAAGTGTTCAGAATACTTAACTGAATTCAAATCCGAATTCTATTTTAAAATCTTTTGAAATCAATTTGAAACATACTTCTCAAATAACAAATATATGGAAATTTTTAACAGAAAATGATAAAAATATCAAAATGAAAACTGACATCTGATTCATAAAAAAGAATAACTTATTATGATAGTCATGAAAATGTACTGACTGAAGCAAAAAATTATATAAGCTTCATTAAAATTTCGCCACAGTTTATATCAAGCTGTGTATCTAGGCATTTTACAAAATGAGAGAAGCGAAGAAACTATTCTAATTAAATTTAACATATGTAAAGCAAGTATTATTACTATTAATATGATTATTTTTCTAAGGGAGAGGAACTGAAAAATAATCATTAAATTAATCATTCATAAAAAGTACTACAAGCCTTACAGCATGAAAGCTGTAAATTAATTTTATAATTTGAGGATTAAAATACAATCATTAGTGAGCAGAATATTATAACGCTGATAATAACGCAATCCATGACATTAAAAACATAAACATTTTTTCATTTGGTAGTAAGCTTCGCCGCCTGGCTACTCAATAAATGTTTACATTTGGAACTACTAAGATGGAACAACAGCGCCATCTAGTGAACGTGAAATTTTAGGACCGTTTTTCTACTAGGCAGTTTCACCTCCTTCATTATACTCCGTGGCGGGGAAGCTATCTTATCGCACCTGGACTTTTCATAGCAATATCATAATTGAAAGGAAAAAAAGAGGAATAAAATTTTGTTTACACAATTTATGTGAAGAATAACTTTACATAAATTGTGCATGGTGTGTTATATTGTTGATTATGTAATACCGTACTTACTCACATATTTTCCCAGCTTAAATTCCAAATTTTATTGTATGAAAATCGAGAAGAAAATTATGTAAATAATTTAATTTTTGAAAGACGCCATCGCAGAAAGTACAAAAGAAATGAAAAAAATTGTATGGATAAACTACCGCTAACTATCACAGTACAATTTATTTCAAAGAAACATACATTCCTTTAAGAACACATGGTACATTAACACAAAACTATCTAATAACACCAAAATTATCTAATAAAATATCTTCATGTCTGTTTCCCTGTATCTTGAATGTTGTTTCCTTTTGTTGTCAACTGATAATCCTTAGACTGCAAATCATTTAATGCCGCTCAAATTGTTGTTTGTTCATCTGCCACAGCTTGCAGGTCATTGCCATTGTCACTGTCTTTGTTATCATTCAGTTTGTCTTGTCACATGCAGTGAGCTTCTGAGCCAACAAAAAACATTAGAAAACTTTGTTTTCTTGAAGCAATTAACTGTTGTTGATGTGTCTATCAGTCAGACACCATAGCTCTGTTCTTTCCCTTAATGCAATAATGATGGGTGAAATTAATGGGGACATTTGTGGAGTATTAATTGTGTGTATATGTATAATAATTATTATTATTTAAAAATATTAATATATTGTATACTCATGATTATCAGTTCAAAAATGCACTCAAATATTTCATAATTTAAGTAGGTGTAAATAGATATATTCAGAAATTTATATTATATCATGAGCTCAAAAATGGAACTGTGGGAAATTAAAACTTTTCTATTTATTGTGAAGATATATGTAAAACAAAACAAAACTAAATAAAATAAGATTATACCATATTAATCTAGTCATATATGGTTCAACAATTTCCTTAGTCTGACAAATTTTTAATCAGTTGAACTAGTTTGTGAGAATGCCATCAAGGCAGCCTATCTCAAGATTCAAAATCTAGTCCATTTAGTTATGTTTGGGTTTTGTGCAGTGCGATTAGAAATTAGGTGAGCTTGTGGATAAATTAAGTTATGGTCTGTAAAATCAGCTGTCATCTGTGTGTGAATTATAGTAACAAAGGCTGCGAGTGTTAATTTTTTACTGAAAATTAAAGTCCACAATATTTCTACTTTTCAAAAACTTTGAAAGCTGGCAGGAACACAAAATTTGGCAGTCCGCTTCACAAAGTGGTTTAAAATTTTGTTCTTACTTTGATAATACAGCAGCACATATATGAAACAAGTTATATCAAGCCTAGGAATTGTGTGTATGTTTAGTGGTATGCAATCAGTTTATTTAGGGATTATATATTAAAAATTTAAATTTATTTTTATGGAAATTAAATATTTTTATTTTTTATGGAAATTTGTGAAGTTTAGTGTGAAAGATGTGTGGCTAGTAAAATTATGCAGTAAAAACGTTAAGTAAAACATCGAAACATGTAGGTTTTTCAGTGTTTTACTAAACTGAAATATACAGGGTATTTCAGAAATGTGCATGGAGCTTCAGAACATAATAACAGGCAATAATCATATAGGAACATAGAGTCACATGCACCACTCTGGTATCTAAAGCAAGAATCTGAAGCAGTTCTTGCTCATACATCAATCCCCAGATCTATTCCCTACATTTTTTTATACTACATGAAAA